CCACTCTACCCCATGAATGTGTAACCTCACAATTGGGCGGATCGCAGGACTTAGCAAAAAGAGAGAAAACGACTTTGGCACACGATGGCCAGTACAGTTGCACTATAATTCCTAATTTCCTGACTAACCATCTGCTGTTCGATGCTGTATCTGTTCCCCTTACCAAAGCGATAGTGACACTGCAGTTCAGAATCGTCACGGGCAGGAACACTACTGGCAGACAGATGTGGCACCATCTATGAAGCGTAGTTCCACTCTTGCAAGCCCGAAGGTCGATTTCGACTTCACGCTGTGTTTAAGGGTTTATTCTTTGTATTACTTTACAATATGCGCACTTTCCATTCTCATTCTACCCATTCTGGCCCTTGCTTGCAGCACTGGGACCTTGATTTAGCTATACCTCTTGCCTTAAGCCTAACCGTTCAACATCTTGAAGCTGGCTTACCTTGCCGACAAGCATTTCATAGATGAGAACACCCAGACACCACCAATCAATAGCACGGGTGTATCCGGTGTCTGTGATCATTTCAGGCGCCACGAATTGCGGTGTTCCACAGAAGGTGCTGGTCTTATCATTCGGTCCCATGTTCGCCTTGCAAAGACCAAAGTCAACCACCTTCAAGTAGCCGTATCCAGTGAGTAGTAAATTCTCCAACTTCAGATCCCTAGAAGATGAGACAAATGAGACCTCTGGTACACTCACCGATACATAATGTTATTCAAGTGGAGGAACTCCAACGCCAACACCACACAGGCTGCATAGAAGACGGTGCGCTCCTCATCAAACGGTCCACTTTGTATGTGTTGCATCAAATCGCCACCGGGCAGATAGTCCAATACGATTACAGCATAATCCTACCACAGAAGCGGGCACGATTAAGTTGTCAAGCAGCCGACCACCTCACTTCAGCCTCAATGGCTGAGGAGTCACAGACTCGCTCACCTGTGGCTGGAAGCAGGCGATCATGTGGACGAAACAGGGATGCCTCGCTTCAGTGACGAGTTGAAGGACACGTTTTTCAATCCTCATACAGTCTGTACAGTGCTCTCGCACCAAATCCACCTTTCTGAAGGTCTTGAGAGCAAAGTAGCCATTAGTAGCTTGTTTGTACTCTGCAAGGAGGACCTTCCCAAAGCTCCCACATCCC